GCAGGTTAGTGGTTGCCAGGGGCTGGGGGGAGGGGGGATGGGGAGTGGCTGCTTGCTGGGCACGGGGTTTTATTTGGGTGATGAAAATGTTTTGGAACTAGTAGAGGCGATGGTGGCACGAGATTGTGAAGCTGCTAAAGGCCACAGGATCGTACACGTTCAAGTGGTTTGTTTTGTGTTATACGAATTTCACTTCCATTTAAAAAATCAAAACCAGCTGCTGCCCAGAGAGGGACCGGGGGGCGGGCGAGGGGGTATGTGAGCAGAACCCGGAATGCTGAGAAGGAATGAGCCTCGCGGAGGGCTCCAGACAGAGGGCGGCATGAGGAGAGAGGGCCTGAAGGTGGGGGTGTGCGGCCCTTGTGGACGTGGACAGCAAGCCAGGGCAGTTGAAATGCTGGGTCGTGTTCTCTGCAGAGAGCCGCCAGCGGGGAGAAATGAGAGGAGCTGAGAGGGGGGAGGGGGCAGGGGCCATGGAGAGGGGCTGGGGACAGGGGGTGTGGGAGGGTTCCAAGCAGGGTGGAGGGCCGTGAGAGAGGCAGACTCAGTCCCCGTTCCTGGAGCTAAAAGGCCGGTGGGGGCGGCTGATGATCAACATGGCCGGGAGGGGTCACTTTTTTTGGTCATATCATTAAGCCCCCATCAGGGAGGACCAGCGAGCGGCAACCAGCCTGGCTGACCATTCGCATCCCTGTAACGCTCTCCCTATTGTTTGGATAAGAATTAGGAAGGGCCGGGAGAGGACCTGAGCGAGCGAGGGTATTCTGCCAACCTCCCTCCCATCACCCACCAGGTGAACGCCTGTGAGCAGCCTCAGGGCCAGAAGGAACCTAGGAGTGGGGACTGAGGCTGCTCTGGGAGGCCAGGGCCCTGGCCCTTTGAGTGGAGGCCACCTCCCTGCCATGCCCAGGGGTCACTTCCAGGAACAGCTTCTGCTCTGGGGTCTGCCAGTCCACTCGGTATTTACAGAGAGACGCCCTTGTGGACTAGGCTTGGACACCGCGGCCCCTTGGCAGACCCTGGCAAACAGCTGTCACCGTGGGTCGGCAGCACGGGTCCTCGAGGGCCTACCCACGGAGCGCTGCACCTCAAAGGCAGACACCAGAGCCTGTTGTGCCACCCCCTCACCCCCGCCACCAGGCGTGCACACCAGCCTCCACCCTCCTGGAGCTGAACGAACATTCTGTGGGGGCGAGAGCCATAAACACACAACCGGCCCATAGATAGGACCTGTGATTTCTCTCCAAGGCAAATGGAGGAAGAAAACTACAGCCAAGTGGTTAGTCACTATTAGCCCTGAGTTATCTTCTGCTTTGACATGTCTTCCAAGGAAGTGAAAGATACTCTCATCAACTGGAATCACTTATAGCTTCTAAAGGGAGACAGAGTGCCCTGCGACAACTCCCTGGGCCTGCAGACAGAATGGGAAGCGTGTCGCGACAGAGCCCGCTCCTCCAGCGCTCAGCCCAGGCAGGTGGAGGCTGCTTTCTCCCTGGTGAGCTCTTCCTCGGGAAGGAGCGCAGCTCCCATGCCACCTGGGAGTTTACAGCAGTGTGGCCTGCCGCAAGGGACCCAGAGCAAGAGCACCCTGCAGGCGGGAAGGGGTCACGCTGCTGTGCTCACGGGCCGGACGGCAGCCGTGGATGCCCCAGCATCGGGGGCCCACCTGGGCCCTGCTTCCGATGACCCCCCAGCCCCACTCTTCAGCTTCTGCAAACCTGCGAGTAAGGTGAGGGCGGTGGAATCCAGCGATGTGCAACCAACCCCAATCTAGCAGCCGGGGACATCGGCCCTCCCGGGACCCACATCCTGCTCACTTGGGTGACAGAAATTAGGCAGAGGAACGTTGCTTAAGTTCTCCTGGGGTTCTCATTCCCCTTGTCAAAGTGCCAGAGACTACACCGATAGCGTCTAGGGCCCTGAGAGAACTCCAAGGCGGTGCAAGGGATGGGTGAAGGCTCGTTCTTCACTCAACAAGCGCTGAACGAAGGCACAGCGCCAGGTGCTGAGATACAGTGATGACCAGGACAGACCAGTCCCCATGGAAGCGACATTCTCCGTGGAGGAGAAAGATGATGGCCAGGTAAGGAAGCCCAGGGCCATGGAGGAAATAAGCCAGGCTACTGTGATGGAGGGGAGGGGGAAGCCTCTGCTAGAGGGGTGATCGGGAAAGGCCTCTCTGAGGAGGCGGCATGCAGACTGAGGCCTGAGCAATCCACAGGAGGCAGCCACACACAGATCTGGGGAAGAACATCCAGTGCAAAGGCCTGGGGGCAGGGAAGAGCTCTGAGACAATGATCGCACAAATCAAAGCCAGAGATCTGGATTTTGTTCTAAGTGCAAAGGGAAGCTACTAGAGGGTTGCCGGCAGGGGCATATGATATGATCTGATTTACGTTCTAGAAAGATCCCTCTGGATGAATGGAAGGGAAGGGACAAGACAGGGAGCTGGAGAATACTGAGGATGCTGCTGCCATGATGTAGGGAGAGAGGCTGGCGGCCGGGAGGGGGAGAAGAGGTGGGTACGTTCTGGAGGCAGAGCAGGCCAGTGGGTGCGGGAGAGGAAAGAGAAGAATTAAGGATGATTCCAAGATGTTGGGTGGCTGTGGGGCAGACTACTGAGACAGCAGGTGGTGAGGAGGGGTGGGATCGGGGGAGAGAGCCCCCCTCCCCCTCTGAACCATGCTGAGGCTCGGTGGTTTCAACCCGCTCTTTAGATCACATTTTCGGTCCAGGCCAAGGCGGGAGGACAGCGAGGTCTCTCTCAAGGGCCCAGAGCAGCTGCCCTGGGGGCACATCTGTGAGAACATCCCTACCCCACACCGAACCTGAGTGGCACTTCCAGGAGCTGTCAGGGGAGCGACACAGCCAAGGGTGGGATGGCCACCTTCAGCAGTTACCTTTAACTCAGCCACAGTCCCAGGTGGCCCAATCTCACATACCCTGACCCTGGGACCAGCGACAGGACACTGGGCATTCCAGCTGTGTCGACCCCCTAATGAGGGAGGCCCAGGCCACTGCAGACAGGGCCACATAGCCAGCAGTGAATGACCTCACACCTCCCCTGGAGCCCAGGTAGGGTGGGAGAAGTAAGTAAGAAGTCATTGTAAAGCCTTCTGCAAACAGAGAGATGATTATGCAGATGCCAAAGAATGTGACACTTGGCTCTACTTATTTATTTACACTCCCCCTGTTCCAAAAAGGACGAGCGGAAATAAGGCCTGGGCTTTTCTCCTTAACCCGTTAGTTCCCAAGGTGACAGAAGCCACGATGGCCCTAAAGAAATGATTTCTTAGCTATTATAATGTTATACGTCGGATCATAGAAATGCTATAATAAAGTTACAACTGTATTAACAAAGAAAGAAAGAAAGAAGAGATTTCTTACCAAGCTGTATTTAGTTCACGGACTCACAGTCATGATTTCTATTTTCTTAGCAGCCATCTCTACAGAATCTGAAGCAACCCGAGAATTCTTAAGGAATCCTCCAGACCCTGCAGCACGCAGAACCATCTCTCATTTCGCAGCTGGAAACAGGCCGCGCTACAGTCTCACGGCCTAAGACTGGTTTTAAGAATGAAACAGTCACAGGCTGTGGGTGGCCGTGTGAACTGGTGCACTTTTTCCAAAGCGCATGTTGGGACTACACAGATCAAGACGAAAAATCTCCCCTTTGACTCGGCAGGCCCACTGCTGGGAATTTAACCCACAGACACGCAGGATTTACACAATTAGACTAAGATACCCCAAGGATGTTCACTGTGACACTAGAAGAAGAAAACACTGAAAGTGACCCAAATGTCCATCAATGCGAAACGTTATAAAAGGTATTTTTGGTCCATCCATACAATAAAATACCATAGAACAGAGGCTAACGTGAAACACTGACTTCTCATTAAGTAAAAACAGCAAGGTACAGATGGCATGTATGGTACAACCCCGGGCGTAAAAACAGACAAGCAAAAATATACATATGACATACAAACAAGCATTTCTGGAAGGATATGCAAGAAACTGTTAACAGGGGTTACTTCCGGGGCCTAGTAGACTTATTTTTCATTTTATTGTGTCCTATTTGGATTTAGATTATAGTATATACATTTCTAAAATAAGTTAATCAAGCCAAGAAGGAAAACAGGATGCATGATGAAGTGGAAGGCAAACGAGGACCCCGATCTTGGTCAGGTTCTTCCGTCTGCATTTGGTTCTTAAATCGATGGCTGCTTTTGAAAGCACTTTGCAACCTCTGCAGCTGAAGCTGGAAGCCCTGACCCAGGAGGGGGTAAGTTGCAGGGGGCAGCTGGGCCAGGCCTCTGAAGGTCTGTAATCCAGGGCAGGGTTCTCTTCTGGGGAATTTGGGTGCATATGGATTTACTTAAAGCAGATGTGTCAGAACAGGAAGGGGCGAGCCTGGCCAGCCGCCCTTCTGGAGAGGCAGCTCCTGCTGCTGCCAGACCGTCCTTGAACTTTCTATTTGCAGTTCTCCTCTGGGGGAGGCTGGGCGGGGAGTCAGAGACAGCTCTGGTGAAAGTGGGAAAGCGGGCTCCCAGACGGGAGGGGCGGCCTGGCAGCGGCCCGCGGGGGGCCCTCGTCTGCAGCCCCACTTCCAGGGAGCTGCAGCAGGAACCGCACCCGCTCTCTCTTTCTAGTCATCCCACATGCAGAAGGAAATTACTCTCCCACAACCTCATTACTAATAATCTAAGTATTTCCAAGAAACCTCCAAGAAACTTCTTAGTCTTAATTCTAAGAAGTTCTTCCACATCCCCAACGAGTCTCTGGAAAACCAAACCCAGGAGGCGGAACACCAAGAGAAGGCCAAGACCTCCTTCTGGGGCTTGCATTCAATCTTGGGCTCTGCTTTGATAAATTCTAAGAACCCGGGGCTTCCAACGGACTGGATTTCGGAGACGGAAAGGGACGCTTACGCAGGCTCAACAGAGAGAAAGCCCTGGGAACCCCCCAGGAGGGGGCAGGAGGGGGCGTGGGGGCTGGCTTACCTGGCACCTTGTCCACGGACGCGAACACTGAGCGCTGCACCGTGGGGTCGCTGCTGCCCCGGCGGCACTGGTCGTAGAAGCGGAAGGGCAGGTGCTGGGTGGAAGAGGAGGAGCCGAGTCCAAACCCCAGGACCTCGGTCGTCGGCTGGATGGGGAGGTCCAGGAGGGCTGCGTGCAAACACACCCAGGCTTCACGCTCAGCACGTGGGATGGGAGCACGGGGGCGAGACTCTGGGTGGGGTGGTTGTCACCAGAATGGCCGTGGCCCCGCCAGGCACAACCCATGGGCGATGCCAAGCAGGCAGCTGGCAGCCTCGAGCTGGGGAGGCCAGCGTGACACCAGAGGTCCTGCTGAGGCTCAAAACACAACCAGTGCCTAGCGAGGGGTTCAGAAATGGATGTGGGCCAGCTTCCACCCCGGACTCTCGGCTTTCACACACAAAAGACCCTTGCCAAGGCTTAGGCTCGGTGTAGCTTCAGACCCCAAAGCAAATGGGGCCACGTCTGCCCTGAAAGTCCATAAATATATCTATCTCTAGCTCTCTCTCTATATGTGCATGGGGAAGACTGTGTGAGACAGAATATACAGGTGCACGCACATGGGTATTTATGAGCGTGTGTATATCTGTCACAGTTGCCATCCTCCCTTCCATAAACAAATCTCATGATATAGCCATTTGGAGGGACTTTTTAAAATCAACTTAAGAAATACCCAAGGCGTTAGTTCTAACAGCCACTTTAAGGCATAATTCTCAATTTTCCAAATGAAATATTTAGCCTTCGTGCCAGCTGTGAGAAATTGCTTTACATTAAAAAAAAAAAAAAACCCTCTGAAAATAAATCTTAAAAGAAAGGCCTAAATGATTTAAGTCACTTTGCGCATTACAAAATGCTTCTGTCCTGATTTTGGGGGCGAGCTGTCAGCTAAGTGAGAAATAAGACAAGGACTGTGTGGGACGCAGGCCTGCGCAAATCAACGGGGCATGCGCAGGAAACTACTGACCCCACAGTGTCCAACAACCCCGCCCCCCAAGTGTTCATTTTTAGGTAGTCCCTTGAGAAGGCTCCTCTCCTGCGGGGGCTGGAGACCCTCCCAGCGACCACACTAGGATGACCACTGGCGCTTGAACTGAAAAGCGCCGGTGTCTTGAGGAGGACTGTTTATAACTTGAGGAGTTGCCGGAATGCCCTTCCCCCGAGGAGGATGAATGGCACGTCCTTCTGCCGGAGTCTTTACTTCCAAGAAAGCTGGGGCCTCAGTGCGGGGCCTCCGCACAAATTCACCACAATCCCTGTGAAAGGTCAAACGACTTCCAAATTCAGTGCCGGGGCACAGCCCCCTCACCAAGTGGGGCCCCCTCGCATGAGAGCTGGGAAGGGAGAGGAAGAAGGGGCAGCTTCAGAAGGGGAAGCTCTGCATTTGGGCTCTGCCAACCAGCTGCCTGTGTACTCTGGGCAAGTCTCAGAGCCTCAGTTTACTCTTCTACAAAATGGGCAGAACAGGCCCTACTGATCTCAAGGGTTGTTTTAAGGACTGCAGGTGGACGAGGAACGTCGAGGCACTTCGTAAACGTAAACTAGAGAATTTTCGCGTGCAGGAGTGAGAACAGTTGTTCCACACTGATGCCCGCCTGTTCACGGCCTCCTGCCTGGGAGGGAGGGCTCCCCTCTGCCAGTCACACACTTAGCAAGTGGGAAATTCTGAGCAGACTCTCCATTCTCTCACTGAAGCACAACTGATTCCTGAACCGTGTGCGTGCCTTCTTCTAGATGAGTTACGGGGTTTCTCAAGGTCCATGTGAGAACCACGCTGACAGCCCTGTGGCTGCTTCTGCCCACGGAGGGCTCGGAGGACACTGCACCGGGCCCAGCCACTCACCAGCTATCCTCTGCATCTTCATGCGCCTTGCCTGGATGCGGCCCTTGGCCAGGCGCTGCTTGGCGATGACGCAGCGAATGTGGTCGGAGAAGAGGAAGGTGGCCTGGAGGATGGGGAAGGGCTTGGAATGGGGGCTGGACGCAGGCTTGTGGATGGTGATATTCAGGGCACGGCTGTCGTCCTCCACGCCAGTCACCTGCATGTCCTGCAGGGGGAGGAGACGAAAGAAAGGGTGCTTCAGGTTTAGGAGGAGGGTAGCTGCTTAGAAGCTGCAGGATCCACGTCTCATTTAGGATTCTAATTCACCTTTGCTTTTCTCTGAAGGAGACCATCAGCCTCCCAAGTCTACGAGAGTCAAGGTGGGCCCACACCCGACCAGGCCTTGTGGGAGAAGAGCAGGTTGGAAGCACAGAGCTCATCAAGGAGCTGACGCTGGCTATATTGTCCCCACAAGGACTTGAGTGAGCCAGTGAACAAGCAGGTCCACCAGCCTCTTCACGGGGCCATGGGGAACCCAAGAGTCCAACTCCAACAATTCTTACTGCTGAGAAACCAGAGATAACAAACCAAAATCCCCATCACCATCTGGCATGATTGCAGATTTAGTCACACATCTACTGACCAACTTCTTCCTTGTTTCTCTTAAGAAGAGGGCATCGCTGGCACCCATTTGTGTTTCCCTGGAGAATTCCTGGTCCCTAAAGGAGAAAGCTAACCCTGAGAAAGGGACAGGGAGGGACATTTAGCAGATATCTGAAGAAAGCCACATTTGAAAAGGGGAGAAGAAACTAATGAATGGCAAGTATAATACGGATGAACCCAATCTAGACCCTCAGGATGGATTCTGTGTAAAGAATGTGCTTCCCACAAAGGTTTGAGTGCTTTAAGATAAAAGCATGAGACAGGAGGCAGACATGAATTCAGAAATGCTGGAGAAGGGGGAAAACATTGAAAAAGGCTCACGAGCTAAGATGGGGACTGTTGGTAGGCATAAATCTGGCACGGGATCTCTGGAAACACTCCCTGCATTGAAACGTTGCAGTGGGGACTATAGGAGCCATCACGCATTTAAAGAGCAGAGGTTGGCACGTAGTACCGGCCTGACAAATAGCAGCTGTTGGAAGATGACCAAAAGAAAAGGTTTATGTGCCTTTCATTGTCTGATGGAGGCATGTATTAATCCTTTGAGGGAGAAAAACACTTTCCTGACACTAAATTCTAAAGGCAATTGATCACAAGCTTGGATAAATAAGAAGCACTAAGTTCCCTAATGGACAACCTCTTACATGGAAGTCTTTTTTGAAATAAAAGACTCTTCATATAGTTGTTTCTCACGTCACCCTCAGCAAAAGACAATTTTTAAAGGGAAAGATCTTGAAGAAGAGGAGGTTGGGGAAAAGGCTGCAATAGCATCTTCACACATGTGGGTGGTTCTCTCGGAGGTCTGGACGCTGCCAGCGGGTCACCTTGTGGAGAGATGGACGGGGGTCAGCACGAGCAAGGCCCTGACAACAACCGGGACTGCCCAGTGAGGAAACAGATGGCCTGAGAGCAGGGCAGGTCTTGAGTCCGGAAGAGTTTGCTGGATGGTCAGGGACATGGGGTCTGACGGGGTGTGAGTTAGGCAGCCGTTTTCCACTCTTCTGGTTCCATGCTTCATTCAGTCAATGAGTTAGCATTAGTCACCCATCATAGAGACGAACATTAAGAAAACTCAAGTCCCAACTTGGCGTTTGGCAATTTAGGGCCCAGCTCTGCTGGAGAGCGGGTGAGTACAAGAGAACGCTCATCAGTTGCCAGCGGCAACAATCATTTCAGAGAGGAATTTGGCAGCGTCTACGAACGCTAAAAATAGGCACACCCCAACTTCTTGGTATCTGCCTAGGGAAACCCTTGCCCAAGCACACAAGGAAGTAAGGATGATTCTGTTCACGGCAGCACTGTTTGTGAAGGGAAAAGCTGGAAACAGCCACACGGCCCTGGCTAACTACACCTTTGTATGGTCACACAGCACTTCAAAGAATACCAGCAAGTCTGCGTATACTACTGTGGTCAGCTGTTTAAGACATATTGTTGAATGTAAAAAAGCAAAGTTTAGAATATGCTCGATGTGACGCTAAAAAAATACACACACTCCCTCTCATGTCTGTATACACAATTTTAAAAACAGCACATGTAGTTATATTTATCTATGTATTTGGCAGAGCACCAGATCTGGAAGGATCATTCTGACAACGGAGAAGGAAGCTTAAGAATTGAAGGTTTTGGCCAAAGAGGACTTGGCCCTTATATGTGCAATATTCTAGCTTTTCTCAATGACCCTCTGTCCGTGTAGTCCCTGAGTCATCAGAAATTAACTGTAAAGATGATATTTGTGTGTGTGTGTTTGTAGAGCCCACCAAGGAGAGCTTCTGGAGTTCTTGGCCACCGTACCTGCAGAAGGCCTGCGAACTTGACCACTCCCCAGCCAAGCCTGGACACGTCGGGCTCCACTAAACTCATCTGGTAAATGTCGACAGCCAGGAAGCGCTGGACCATGCCACCGTCCTTGGTGATCACCGTGCACGCGATGAGGTCGCTGTTGTCTGCGAGGAGGGAGACGAGAGCAGAATGAGGCACGGTTCAGCTGCCCAGCCTGATGGAGACACTCAAGCTGACTTGCATCCTGCTGGGCAACGGAGCTCAGCGCATTCGGAGTCACACACACCTGGGCCTGAGTCCCTCCTCTGAGTCACCGGCGGGCAACTTTTTTAGCTCTCTGGGCATCACATTCCTCATGAAAAAGGAGGATAATGCCCAGCCCTCACAAAGTGCTCTTTGTCAGACTAACTGAATAAAGTACATAAAGCATCGGACAATGCCTGCTGCACATTAGGTGCTCAAACTGTAGCTAAAAAACAACCAATAAACCGAGATTCCTAGTACGATTTCAGTGCTTCCTTGCAGATCAGTGGTGGTTGACAGCTGTGATGGTGTTTGCCTAAATCAAGCGAGGACAGGAAAACGAGAGTCCCCTGCTCGGTTACAGAATCACCAAACCCTCAACTTGGCGTCTGGCAGCTTAAGAGTCGAGCTCTGCACCAGCTGGTGTGTGATCCTGGGCAAGGCACTTGGCCCCTCCGAACCATGGTTTTCCATCTGCAAAAATGGCAATAATTTCCCTTACCCCGAGATGTTTGGTGGGTTCAATGAGAACAGATAGATAAGCATTTAGCCTGGGGTCCTCAGGGTAGGCTGGGCCCCTTCTCTTACTTGAAAGTCACCCCTAAATTCAATGTCTGATTCAGCGCCTGTCCTTGATGGCTTTGAAGTCACCCGAGGAACACCAGATCATTAAATTTATGGTCTGCTTTGAGTTCCCTCCAACGGAATCTTCTGCTACATGTTTTAAAAGAAATAGCCAAATCAGGAAACAACCTAAATGCCCCCGAATAGGGGACAATTTGAGTATGATTTTTTCCCCCATCGCATGAAGAATTATATGCCCATTTAAAAATTATGTCTAACCAAATTGTGAACAGTGGTTACCCCTGGGGAGGGAAGTGAGAACCGGGGGTGGGAGTGTGTGTGTTTGGGGGGAGTTTCAACAGGAGAACTTTAATTTTTGCCCCATATACCACGATATTGCTTGAAATTACTTTAAAATGAGAAAGCACTCAAGATGCACTATGGAAATACATATTAAAAGCCCGAGCAGAAACTCCTATTAACAAATAATGGCAATGACATTGGAGAAGACATTCAAATTTTAAACGAAAAAGAGAATAAAAACTTCATTACTGTGATTTTGAGATGTTAAAAAAATGTATCCCTACAAATAAACATAAATGCAGAGAAATATGCTAAAACATCAAAAGAAGTCTCTGATTATCAGAGTGAGTTTTTTGGAAACAGCTTATTGAGGTATAATTTACATACCATAAATTTCACCCATTTTAAGTGTACAGTTTGGGTTTTAGAAAGTTTACAATTGTGCTTTACTCCAGTCTAGCTGTAGAGCACTTGTATCATCCCAATAAGTTCTATTGGGAGCACTGTAACCAAATATTTGGCTTAAATTTATTGGTGGTAGGTGGGTGGGGGTGCGAGAAGGTAAGACAGATGGCATAAATTCTGGCCCCAAACACACAGGATGACAAACTTGGGGTTCAGGTATTCTCCAAGGACTTTTTTTCCCTATTTTTACTTTTCATTTAGATTTCCAGGATGACATGTAAATTTCCCCTGCTCTCCCCCTCCCCCTCCCTCTCTGAGAGAGCGAGCATCATCTGTCTGGGATTCTGGCTTCATGGGGATGTCTTCCAGACCATCCTCCTGGCTTTTACAGGCCTTATGTTCCTGTCTGTTCTCCCCAGCATATGACCACCTAGAACAACCAGGCACCCTCATGGCAAACAGTAGCACCAGACAGGCTTAATTCTCTGGACTGTACTTTCTTATTATTTAGGGCAAGAATCTTCGTTCCTTTCCCAACCGTCCAGCCAAATATTTTAAAAGATTTCTAAAAATTATTTTCTCCAGAATCTCTGGTTCCATACCAGAAGACATTTAGTCTCCTATATTGTCAGAAATGGAAGTCACTATATTCATTCTTATAAACATTTTCTTTTTGGTAGATAGAGTTTATTTTCTTTACTCAATACTTAAAACATTTTACTCAATGACAATCTTTTACTGTTTGAAAATGTAAAGTAAACAACACTAATAAAGGATGCTTTTTCTTTCCTTTTTTACTTTCTCTTTCTCTCTCCCTCCCTTTCCTCTCCCCTCTCTCTACACAGGACAACTCATCTTTCTTCTTTCCCACATTCACGAAAGTGGTCTATCTGAGGGAGTGACTGGGAAAGCAGGCACAGATATAGGTGTCACTGGGGCTTGTCGGTAGGCAACCCCCTCATAAAGCCCAGGGGCCCTGGGGGCTTCGGGGGGAAAGAGACCTACACACCTCTGCCACAAAGAACAAAAAAGGAAGGACAAAACCCCAAAGCGGAACAACTTTCAGAAATGCAATTGAGACATCAAAGCCCTGTGAGATTTCATAAGAAACTAAAGGGCAACTGTCACCAGTGAGCAGGACCGCTCCAAGAAGGAGGGAGCCTCCGGCTTTTCAGAAGTTGTCGGGGCAGCAGTTAAGGAGAAGTGAAGCGGTTTCCGAGACTAAGGAGAAGGGCATCCTTCAGGGAGATGCAGGGAATGCTGGTTGGGTGACTCGTTTGTGTGCTTTAGTTTCATTTTAGGGAACTCCTTCACCACCTCCATCCACACACTGGCTGTGGGCATTCCCGGCCAGAGCCCCGGGAGACAGGGGCTGTCTGCTCGCCTTTGGATGGCCACGGTGTCTTGGGCAGAGGAGGACCCAGGAGAGAGCTGCTGAATGGAACCCAGTTCCACCCACGGTGTAAGCCCTTCGCCTGCTGCCTTCATGCAGGCACCTGTGGATTTCGCTCCGAGCCAGGGAGAGCCATGCCAGGTGCCGAGGTGCTGGGAGGGGTGCGGGCACGTGGGGAGGACTCAGCGGCAGGCAGCTCTCCTGGGTGTGTGCGGCCTCATGAGCCGCCCTGCCTGACTCTCAGGAGTGGCCTATGGCCAGAGGAGACAGCGTAGGTGACAGGTCACCTGTACACTGGTGCTGCCTAGATCTAGCTTCCCATCTGAATCTCCTGGGTCCCCCCCGCCACCAACTTCACTTCAAAAGGGGTTGGGCCTATGATTCTACTTTAAAAGCTTACAGAAAACTGTCAGAAGACAACATAGGAGAATATCCATGTGACCTTAGGGGCCGATAAGGATTTCTTTAAAAAGAAACAAGAACCAACACATACAAATAAATAAATATAAGATGGACAAACTGACTACACCAAAATTAAAATTTAAATCACATATGACAAATGACTTTACAGACTAAGGTAAATATTACAAAATACCTCTAAGAGGCCAAAGACAGCAGTAAATGTGACACAGGACTCCACAGGGCACTCTCAGAGAAAGAGAATGGGGACAGCCATTAACACACACAGAGGGGCTCCCCCTCATGAGAAATCAGGAAACACATTAAAATGAGATACCACCTTCCACCCATCGGATTGGCAAAAATAAAAATGATACCATCAGGTATTGGTGAGGATCATAGAAAAACTGACATTCTCAAAAGTTGCGAGTAGGAGAATAAATTAACATAGTTTTTTGGGAGGGCAAATTAGCATTATTTGTTAAAATTGAAAGTTTCACACCATACAACCCACCAATTGGTATGTTTCCAAGAAAAACGTGTGTGGCGTGTGGGCCAAGAGACAAGAACCAGGATGTTGATGGCATGATTTGGGTCTGTAATGATCCAAATGTCCTGCAATGAGGGAAAGCCTAAAAAAATAAATGTATGTTCATTCAGTGCAAAACCATATGGCAATGACAAGGAATGAATGAGATCCCCAGGTGTTTCAACATGCTTAAGGCGCAAGAACACAGCGTTGAATGGAAAAAGCCGGTTGCAGCATGACACACGCAGGAGACACAATGCAAGTAAAGTGAAACCACACAAAATGATACTGTACTTTTTCTACAGGTTCAAGCCTGTAGGTGTAAGAGGAGAATTCAAGACACTGTCCGGGAGGATGCACAGGGGTTCCCTCTTCGGAAGGGAGGAGGCAGGATTGACGGTGGGGGTCAAGCTCACTTTAGTTTATACGGCATGTTCTGATTTTTCAAAGGGAAGAGAGGTGTGTTATTTGTGTACTTAAAATTAAAGTGAAAAGGGACTCTTTCTACATTTGTACGCAAAGGGCCGCAGGTCCTTCTGGGGCCCAGCCGGGGTTGGGAAGCAGCGCCAGGCCATGCTGGCCAGCCAGCCACCTCTGCCGGGTCCAGAAGGCGGTGGCAACCATCACGAACAGGGCAATGGCACGAAGCCGAGGGCTCTCCGACAGCACCTCTTGGGACACAGGTGTGCGTGTTTCCAAACCGGCCAGATGCGTGGGCTGAAACGCCCTGGCCTTCAGCTCAGCAAACGCATGGGTGTCAGGCACCGTACGGGGAACCAGACCAAGAAGAGTGAGTGCTGGCCCTGCCCCAAGGAGCTCAGGGACCAGCAGGGACACTCAGGCTCCGGACCATAAAACACAGTGTAGACCAAGTCTCCTTCTGGGGAGGGACCAGACCCTTGGGCAGAGCAGGTGGGATGACAGAGGTCCCCATCACACCCCAGGACCACGACGGCGTAGCATGCCTTTGGGCCGAACCTCCCTCCAGGCAGAGGTGACACATCCCTCCTCTTCTAGGCACTGCCTTTGGTTTCATTTATTTGAAAGGGGAGAAGATTTGCCATTTTATTTTATCTGAAAATATTAATTTTATCAATCTCTTTGGACAGATAACACATACACATATTCCATTTAAAAAGGTGTGCAACTTTTTTACAGGGGACAGTCAGTCTCCCCTGTCGTCCTCCCAGAGGCAGCCGTCTAACAGATTCTTGTCACCCACCCACTATGTGTTTCTAAGGGCAGCTACGTTCTCCCCGCTGTGTCTTTCACAAATGGTTGCATGCCACACACTCTCTCTGCCTTGTGCTTTTGCCACTTAACCATGC